GCGCGCTGCCCCCAGATGAACCCCGAGACACACAACAGGCCCTCGAGAGGCCCATCATAATGGAACAAACATGCGACGCGAGGATCTGCCCCCGAGGGTCGGCCAGGTGCCGCGCCAGTCCCCGAGGGCCGGCGCGACGGAGGAGACCTGCGGCCGCAGAGCTCGCGGAGCCCCGCCCCCCTGTGCGATCCGCCTTGGGGCAGCAAGTAGGCGCGGCCAGGAAGAGCTCAGGCCGAGTCTTTCCCTCGTCCGGGCCCCCCCGCCCGAGACGGGGCCAGAAGGGCTGGCGGCTCTGCGTTCGTTCACGATTGGAGGCCGCGTCATGGGGGGGGGGCGATACCTGGGGGGGCCAGCGAGCGCTGCCGAAAAGGGGCCCTCTGGGGCCCCTGCAGGGGCCCTTTGGGGCCCAGGAGGGGGCCTTGGGGGCCCGAGGAGGGGGCCTTTTCTCCCTCCCCCCCCCCCCCCGGGTGTAAGCCCAACAGTAGTTCGCGCCCAACACGACCTCCCCGCGGATCTCAGCGGCTTGTGGCGGCGAGCGGCCGTCTGCGGTGGGGCCCGTCCGCCGGGGCACTTGTGCGTGGCCCGCTGTTCGCACGCAGAAGCTCGGCGGCAGGCGGCGGAAGCAAAAGCGAGACGCCAACATGCATAGATCCACGGTCTCTGCAGCTTGACAGGTCGCGCCGGTTGCAGCATGATTTTCGGCCTCGGTAGGGGGGGAAGGAAGAGCAGGGGGAGGGGGGAGGACGGCGACGACGAAGGGAAGGAGGCGAGGACCCAGGGATCCGACGTATTGCTTTTTCAGAACACGGCCTCCAAGGTTTCCCCAGGGCTGGTTGATTCAGGAGGGAAAGAACAAATAATCGTCGATTCCCCAGAAAATGTGGGAAAATGTGGGAAGTGGGGGGGGGGGAGAACGAAAACCAGAAAAATTGAGAAAATATGGAGAATCCTGTTATGTGTGTCTATTTATTTGTGTGTCCCAGGGCCCCTTTGTTTACGCATCCCGAGTCTTTCTTTGACAGTCCCGCAGCCCCGCGGGGCCCCCCAGAGGCGGAAAGCTATTATGAAAAAGCGTTTATGTTTCTGCTCAGCATTGGGGGTCTGGGGAGGAGGCAGGAGGAGGAGGGGAGGCAGGAGGAGGAGGAGGGGCATGAGGAGGAGGAGGAGGAGGAGGAGGGGCAGGAGGAGGAGTAGGAGGAGGAGCAGGATGAGGAGGAGGAGGAGGAGGAGGAGGAGGAGGAGGAGGAGGATGGCAGAGAGGACGAGAGCGCCTGCCGCGGCGCGTCCCGTGCCGGTGCTGCGGCTCCACGGCGCGGCACCCCTGCTCCTGCCCACTGTCTCGGCATCGCTCGGAGGTGCGCATTCTTCTCCACGAGGCCAGCGCCAGATACGGTGGGGGCGTTAGTTGAGGAATGTGCCCAGGAGTCTCCAGACCCTGGGGGGGTCCTTATCTCAGGCGATCGCAAACATGGATCAAGGGGGCGTGGATTAGCGACGGGTCCCGTTTCCACTGGAAATCGCGGATTCCCGCCACCGAGCGAGGCGGCACCGGCCGCACTTTGGGGAGAGCACCTCCCCCGATCCATGGTTTTGGCGACAGCGCGCCAAATCAATGGATCGCTAATCCATGTTTGCGCGCCCTCGATTATCTGATGAGGGCGGCAGTGGTACCCGGGGCCCATCCACGATCGGAGCTCCACGGGCTTCCAGGCCCTGGCTTCCTTATCCAATGGTCCCTTGTCCAGTGCCCTCGCCGTGATCTGGACCATCTTGGAGCATCTTGGACCACCTTGAGGAAGCAACGGCCGCGACACCGAGCCATGCGCGGGAACGGCCGTCCGAGCGATGGCCAGCTGCCCCTCGGCCTGAGCTCCGCGGCCAGCGGCGGGCCGCGCGCGGAGAGTGCGGGCTTGCCGTGGGAGCGCGCGGGCGGGCGCCGTGAGCCCAGACGGACGCTGACGCCGGCTGTGGGTCCTCGCGCCGTCACCACACTTATCACCATCAGCATCATCATCATCATCATCATCATCATCATCATCATCATCATCAGCAGCAGCAGCAGCAGCAGCATCATTATCATATCATCATAATCATCATCAGCAGCAGCGACACCACCACCCTCATCATCATTACAATAATCATCATCATCATCATCAGCAGCATCAGCATCAACAGCAGCAGCAGCAGCATCAGTATAATCATCATCATAAGCATAAGCGTCAGCGTCAGCGTGAGCATCACCCAGCATCACCACCCTGATCATCATCATCATCATCATCATCATCATCATCATCATCATCATCATCATCATCATCATCCTCAGCATCCTCAGCATCATCAGCAGCAGCATCATCAGCTGACCCGGCACAGCATCCGCATAATCATAAGCATAAGCGTCAGCGTCAGCATCGCCATCACCATCACCATCGCCACCATCACCACCACCCTCGTCATCATCACCATCGTCAGCATCATCAGCATCAGCATCAGCATCAGCATCAACAAAGCATAATCATCAGCGTCAGCGGCACCACCACCATCACATTCTCCCTCATCGCCACCCTCATCATCATCATCATCATCATCATCATCATCATCATCAGCATCAGCATCAGCATCGGCATCAGCGTAATCATAAGAATAAGCATCAGCTTCAGCATCACCACTATTATCATCACCACCATCGTTACCACCCGCATCATCATCATCATCATCATCATCATCATCATCATCACCACCGTCCGCATTATCATCAGCATCAGCATCAGCATCAGCGTAAGTATAAGCATAAGCATAAGCATCGCATAATCGTAAGCATCAGCGCCATCAGCATCACCATCACCACCCTCCTCCTCCTCCTCCTCATCATCATCATCATCATCATTATCTTCATCATCATCACCATCACCAGCTTCATCATGGTCAGCATCATCATTATATATCACAATCACCATCCACATCATCATCATTATCATCATCATCGGCATCCGCATCAGCACCCGCAGCAGCATCAGCATCGGTATGAGCATACGCATAAACATAAGCATCAGCGTCAGCATCGCCATAGCCATCGCCACTACAGTCACCACCAGCCTCATCATTTACGTCATCACAACTATCGTCATCATCGTCATCATTTTCTTCTTTGTCATCATCGTCGTCACCGTCACTATCGGCATCAGCATACGCACGAACATCGGCGAACGCAATAACATCAGCATTCGCATCAGCATCAGCGTAATCATAAGCATAAGCATCAGCGTCAGCGTCAGCATCATCATCACCATCACCGTCACCATCATCACTACCCTCCTCCTCATCATCATCATCAGCATCAGCATCAGCGTCATTATCACCATCAGCATCAGCATCATAATCAGCATGAGCATCGGCGTAAGCATCAGTATTAGCATCAGCGTCAGCGTCAGCATCACATTCATCACCACCCGCATTACCTCCATTTTCATCATCACCGTCACCATCACCATAATCATCATCAACCGCCACGTCATCGCCTTCATCATCATCAGCATCACAACGATCACTATCATCATCATCACCACCGTCATCATCATCATCACCATCATCATCACCATCATTAACAGTATCATCGTCGTCATCGTCATCGTTATCACCACCCTCGTCTTCATCCCTATTGGTATTATGACTATCACTTCTTTTAGTAGTATGACGTTTCGCATTGCAATCATCATGATCTCCATCATCATCGTCACCACCACACCCTCAATCATCATCAGCATTACCAGTGTCACCAGCATCATCATCGTCATCATCACCATGCACGCCGTCTCCACGCACCCATTCGCCGAGCGCATGAAGCACACTGTGGACCTGCGAGGCTTAGGAAGCACTCGAATTTGCGCCGACTACGTTGGCGTGGCCATTTTGTACTTGAGCACCCCCAGGGAGTACGTCGACACCTTCGCCCTCATGCATTCCTGTGCTGGCCTCCGCCTGAAGCAATGCTTCTCGATTCCGATCTACGCGGCACGCACCAGCCACATGGTTGAGGTGACACGCGACGCCCTGCTGACCATAGTCCCCGATTGGATTCAATTCAGAATCGTGAAAATCGCCACCTATCTGGGCTTAGCAATGGGCCCAAATGTCGTGGACGACATGTGGGATGCCCTAATGCAAAAGTGGCAACAACGCGCCAACGCCATTGCGCTCGCGAAGGGCTCCACTACAGTGGTGACCAAGGGGTACAAGATCAAAGTCATCCCAACGCTGCTATACATTGCCTAGGTTTGCCTCCCGCTCGCGCGATCATCCAGGCCGAGAACGCCATCATCAACAAGCTCTGGCACGTCCCACCGTTCACGTTGACAGTGCGTGGTATGGCCCGCGCCTCGCAGTTTGGCGCGGTCCACGTCATTTCGGCCTCCGTCGCTTGTGTGTCTGCTTTGGCCCGAGCAGCCTGCCGCACCATCGATTGGAAGACCCCGCTGGACCTCCGGCGTGGAGCAGACTACGAGGCTGCCCTGAGCGCGGCATTGGCGACTCAGCACTTGAAGAGCCTTGGGCAAAGCACTGGAGATCTCCGGCAATAGCGTGGACCCACGAGCGCGTAGCCACCTAGCAGGCGATCGGCACCACCAAGCAACTCCACGAAGCAACGAACGCTGCCATCAATGCCGTTCAGACGTCCGTGGTCTTTTCGCCGCCCGGCTCCGCAGTCGGACTCCGCCGTCGGGCGCTGCTGGGCCCATGCTTGCATAGTCCTGTACGGGCGTTTTCCTCGGTATCGTTTCACCAATCCCCATCCCCAACCCCATCCCCTTCGACACCCCCGCCAAATTACCACCCTAGTTGGGGATGCACCCCTCGAAGCCCGAAGGGAACGACCTAATCCCCATCTGGGGGGGTAAATCGGCCAGTGGGGCCCAGGCCACGCCGCTGGGGATGGGGATCGGTTAAACGGTACTCAATTCCTCCGGCTTGCAGCGCATCGCCTACCACACGATCGAGAGAGGGAGATGTTCAGATCCACCTCAGGCGGCGCAGTCAAGGCCCGCCTGCGTCTCCATTGGTCCGACGCTCGCGACGACATCAACATTAGGTAGGGCATGTCCCCCTACAGACGGATTTTCGACGAGAAATAAAACAATCCTGGACATATTCAAACTGCGTTTTAAAAATTGTGAAAAAATCGTCCCCATTTTATTTCTTGACTATTTTTGAATGAACGTTCCCCCTGTAGAGGGGCAGGCCCGACTTAACATCAACAGCGTCGATGCCACGAATTTTATGAACATCGAGAAGAAGAACCTTGTCCCGGGTCGCCAGCTCCCGCTGCAAGACGTGGACGGAAGGATGGACGACGTCTGCGCGCCTCCACGAGGATCTCGTTCACAAGTGCCTCTTCGGCTCTCCCGCCCGGGACGAACTGAGCTGGCTGCCTCCCACTTTGGTCCACGTTGTTTAGCTTTACACCCGGCGCCAAGGCATCGCGACATCCTCGCCATGAGTGCGAAGATGCCCGAGGAGTGTAAGGCAGCATCATCACCACCACCATCATCATCATCACCACCACCACCACCACCATCATCATCATCATCATCATCACCATCTTCATCTTCATCTTCATCTTCATCTTCATCATCATCGTCAGCATCACCATCACTATCACCATCACCATCATCAGCAGCATCATCATTGTCACCATCGCCATTCGCATCATCATAATCACCATCACCACCACCATCCCATCAGCACATCATTATCAGTAGTAGCAGCATCACCACAACCATGACGATGATGAGGCGGCGTGAGCGCAGACGGCGGTGAGAGCAGGCTCGGGGGGTCCTCCTCGTGTTGGCCCCGCCCGCCCGCGAGGCCGAGGAGAGGGCGGGGCGGCTGGCCAAGGAGGCCTGGGGCGGAGGGGGCTCTGGCCCTTGCTGTCGCGGCTGTTGTCATCGTCGTCGTCGTCGTCGTCGTCTTCCTCGTCGTCCTCGCTTTCCTCTTCGCCACCGTTGTCGCCGTGTCATCTCTCGTCGTCTTCGTCGTCCTCGATGCAGATCTCGCATTGCAAACTCTTTGGTTCGCTCCAGACCCTCCTTTCGACCCGAGGAGTTTGCGCGCGCAGTCAGGGGGGTGGGGCTCCAGGGCTTGGAGTCGGACGTCTTCTCATACCTCCAAGGCCCTGGAACAGACAACCCAAAACAGGACGGCCCCTTTCTTATGAGGTAGGGAAATGAGCGGGTGGCACGGTTGGAGACGCGTTTTCTGAGAAGTCGGCTTGGGTTTTTGAGAAGGCTTACGTGGCGTCCCCGAAGGCGCGAGAGTTTCTGAGAAGCCCCACCGCCTTCTGACAAGGCCTGCCCCCTCTCTCACTTCCCCCCGTGGGCTCGCCGCCGCATTGCCCCACCACCTTGCACGGGGTGGGGACGGAGACTTAGGCTCGAGGGCCTCCCTGAAGGGCGCATCTAATTTCTTGCCACGGCAATCGACGGCCTGCAGACCGCGCAGCGCGCTGAGCTGAATCCCTCGGTGCGCACGCGGGTCGGCGTAGAGTCACCGCGGATTTCCAGTACTTCAGCCGCGGCACCCCCGCGCAACGCGGCGGAGAGAGCGCGACGACTGCTCGCACGCCGACTATCAACGGGGAGGCGTTCGCGCCAGATTGCCGCAGCGGGCTGCTGCAGGCCCGCCTGCAACGGGCCTCGTGGACCAGGTCGGGGCCGCCGCCCGCGGCATCGCCGAGGCGGACAGGGCAGGAAACGACGCGGCCGACAGGCTCCAGGGCGCCTGGGCGCACGCGCAGCTCCCGCCAGGCGACCTGCGCCAGCAGCGCGCGCGGCTCTTCGGCGGGCGGCGGCGGCGGTGGAGATGGCTGCGCGGCAGAGCGAGCCACGGCGGCGGAGGGCCCCTGAAGGGCCCCGGGTGCGGCGCCGCTGGGCTGCGCCCAGGAACGGCTGGAGGCGCGCGCGCCCCGCGCGGGTGGCGCGGCCGCCGTGGCCGCTGCCGCGGCGCCGCCCGCGCGGCGCCGCCGCCGCGACGGCGAGGCCCGGCGCCCGCGGCGTCCCGGCCCGGCGCGCTGCAGTGGCTGCGGCTGGCCGGCCGCCCGCGCGGCGGGGCGCTGCCGCGGCGGACAGCCGCGCCGCTTCTGTTGGCGGCGGTGCGCCTGGGGCGGGGGCGAGGCCGCCCGACGAGCCGTCCTGCGAGCACGGCGGGCCGCTTGCCCAAGCCCACCCCCGCCTGCCTGGATTGAGCTCGCGCGGGGGCGCGCAGGGCGTGTCCCCGTCGCCCCCCCCTCTCCCCCCTGGGCCCCCCCCTCCCATCCTCCGCCCCCGTCCCTCTTGTCGTCCTCGTCGTCTTCGCCAGTCGGACCTCTGCCTTGCCTCTGGGCTCCATCGCGATGGAGTGGTGCGCCCCGAGGGCCTTTGGAGGGCCACAGATGGGCGGGGGGGGGGAGGGGGACAGCAGAGGAACAGAGACCTCGCTTCGGTCCCCCCGCGCCCCCCGAAGCACGCAGCGTGGACGCGCATTGAGGAGCCGCACGAGTTGCCAGGGCGCTTCCGGATTCCTCGGTTGGCAGGGGATTGCAGAGGGAGAGCTCTGGGTACGGACGTCCCTTGATTCCATGTGTTCGAGACATTGCCCCCGACCTCTTGACCCCCTGCCCGGGGGCCAGCGTTTCACCCTCTGGTTGTTGTTTCGTATCCCAGGATCCCGAAACGCGCCTTGAGGTCGAAAGTGGCGAAAGACTGGATGTCCTGGGTGGATCCCACGCTCCTGAGCTGGTCGAAGTCTTTCAGGGTGCGGGCTCTTGCACGGGCATCTCGTGGTCGAGGTCTTGCCCGAAACTTTTGGCCGTCGACTTACCCGTTCCGTGCTTCTCGCGGAGATTGCGGCGCAGTGTACCAGGACGGCGACGACGTGGATCACAGTACGCCGAGCGTGGGGTAACTTTCCACAATGGGCGAGCTAATTTGGGACAACATCTGAGGAGCATAGGTGTGCTTCTCCCGGGATTACTGCCGTCATGATTCGCGCTATCTTCGGGAGGAGGAGGTGGGGAGGGGGGAGGGGAAGAGGTAAGGGAACGGGAGGAAAGGCAAAGGGAACGAGAAAGCGAAAGGGAGGTGAATAGAACCCTCTCATTCAAATGCCTACGGCCCTCCTCCCCCTTCCTGTTCCCCCCGCAAGTTGGTGGCAGTCTCCGCGGCACGCCCCCGAGTGTTGGCAGTCCGAGGCAATCGCTAGCACCCCCGAGTGGGCCTCCCGGAGTTTTCCTCCTCGTCCTCCCTGCTTCGATTTCTCCGCCCGATCTCGTTCTCGCCTCCTCCAGCGCGCTCGGACCCAGGGCGGAGCGGCTGCCTTGCATGTGTTTCGGGATCCCGCGATCCGAGAAGCGAGAGGGAGACAGCAGTTGGAGGGGGAGTTTAAGCTTTGCTTCCAGGCTGCCCTGTACCCGACCCCCTCCCTCCCCGCTCGCATGATGGTTCGTGTCTGTCGTCGCTGCGCTCCCTCCTCCGATTGGGAAGGGACAGAGGATGCCACGATGGAGCTGCTGCGGTTGCCCCCCCCCCCCCCGCGTGGGCCCAGATTGCTCTCATATCGTGGCTTGGGTCATGGGTCACAAGTCGCAGGATGGCCCGACTTGATGCCCAGTGCATTTCGGGTGCGGTGCTCCGGATGACGTCAATCACTATGTATATATATATATATATTGCGAAGGCCTTACGGCCGGTGCCGCCGACCCTGTTCGCAATGCGCAGCAAGAGGCACGGGCTGTGGGATGGTTTTGGGGAACGGGGAGAAGGACGAGAAGGTGGGGGAGGGAGGTGTCGTATCTGACCCGGGACTTCCCCGGGACTCCCCTGGGACCCCCCCCGGGACCCCCCCTCCCCCCCCCGTCGGGGAAGGGAAAGGGAAGGGGCTTCCCTTCGACTCAATTACGACGTTGCTCAAGGTCGGTACGGGGGGGGGCGTCGTATCTGACCCGGGGGGGGGGTCGCTACCCCCCCCCGCTACCCCCCCCCCCTCCCGGCGGGGGAGGGATCAAAGGGAAGGGGCTTCCCTTCGACTGAATTACGACGTTGCTCAAGGTCGGTACGGGGGGGGGCGTCGTATCTGACCCGGGGGGGGGGTCGCTACCCCCCCCCCTCCCGGCGGGGGAGGGATCAAAGGGAAGGGGCTTCCCTTCGACTGAATTACGACGTTGCTCAAGGTCGGCTTGGCTCGAGCGGCTCGGGCGCGGCTCGGACGGCTGGGGCGCAGGACAGAGACGACGAGTACAAAGAATAACGGAGATGACGGCTCGAACGGAAAAGCCCCTCACACACGCCGACAGGGTCGGCGGATATATATATATATATATATATATATATGCCGTAGGTCACAGTATGTCGCTTCCATGGCTCTGCGCTCGTTTCTCCCAGGGGACCTTCTCTTCCTCCTTGGGCTCCGAGGCGGTTCACTGGTCTTTGCAGTTGCGTGTTATCATGCACATCGCTTAGCGTCCCATCAGAGTTCGCTGCCGCTGTCCCTTTCCCAAGCCGTCCAATTGATAGTCGCCGTGAGGTTGGCCACACGTCTCCCAAAGCGGAGGCGTCAGAGGCATCTGCTGTGCCGAGCCTCCCTCGACTCCACCGTGGAGCAGGCGCAGCCGAGAAGTGAGGAAGCGTAACATGGCTGGGGTCTGGATTCCCTCTTTCACGCTCCGCCTCCTCCTCCTCTTCCTCCTCCTCCTGCTCCTCCTCCTCCTCCCTCCCTCCCTCCCTCCCTCCCTCCCCCTCCCTCCCTCCCTCCCTTCCTCCCCCCCTCCCTCCCTCCCTCCCTCCCTTCTCCTCCTCCTCCTCCTCCGCCTCCTCCTCCTCCTCCTCCTCCTCCTCCTCCTCCTCCTCCTCCTCCTCTCCGTCCCCGCTTCCCTCCCTCCCTCCATGCCGCCCGCGGCGCGCCCAGGCCGCCGCGCTGGAGGCCGCGCAGGCGGCGGCGAGGCGGCCCCCGCCGGGCCGGAGTGTGGCGGGGATGGGATGGGGGGGGAGCAGGAGGAAGGGAGGAGGGGGAGGAGGAGGAGCAGGAGGAGGAGGCGGAGGAGGAGGAGGAGGAGGAGGAGGAGGATCGGGAGGAAGGTGCCCAACGTTTCGTTTTTTTTCCACGGGGCAGGAGAAATTACCAGTGGGCGTGAAGGAATGGGCTCAGCCAGACGATCTGAGACCTCTGAGGCCCCAATGTTTTTTTTTTTTTTTTTTTTTTTTTTTTTTTTTTTTTTTTTTTATCTAGTGGCCAGGGAGTCACAGCGGTCCCTGTCAGAGGAACTGGCCGCCAAGGTAGGTAAGAGGTAAGAGGAGGATCGGGAGGAAGGGGAGGATCAGGGGCAACGATGGGGGAGGGTCGGCTCAGGGGGGGGAAGCGTCAACCCGCCATCGTTCACTCGTCGCCGAGAGGGGCCCGATAGCGCCCCCCCCCCCCCCCTGCCCGGGTCCGAGCGGATTCACTAACGGGGGCCTGTCGTCGATCTATCGGCTGTGTATCGCCGATTCCAAGTCGATGGTCTCCCCCCCCCCTGAGCTGGCCCCCCTATCGTTGCCCCTCAGAGGGGAGGGGGAGGAGGAGAAGAGGAGGAGGAGGAGGAGGAGGAGGAGGAGGAGGCTGACAACGGAACCGTGGTCTGAGCGGCAGGTGCCTTCTGGCGGTGCCCGCTTTTATTTCTGCCTCGTTGTCAGTGCTTTGCTATTTTTCTGTTGCCATTGTACCCCCTCCTTGTTATCAGATCTTGTCATGCCAATCCTATGGCCCATCTTCTCCCTGCCTCTTCTCGTTCTCGTCATCGCTTCTTGTTCGTCCATTCCTAAACGTGCCTTTCAAGTTGACAGCGTGGCAGGCTCAGTCGATGATACATTGTCTAGCCGAACCCCATGACATGTGTATTCGATCCGCCGACGCTGTGAACGTCCGATGGCTTGCGAAAGAAGGAAGAGGAAAGTGGAGGAGGAGGAGGAGCAGGAGGAGAAGGAGGAGGAGGAGGAGGAGAGGAGGAGGAGGAGCAGGAGGAGGAGGAGGAGAAGGAGGAGAGGAGGAGGGCCGAGGAGGGGCAGGCGGAGAGAACGGGGGGAGTCTGGGGAGTTTGGGGCGGAGGAGGAGGAGGAGGAGGAAAAGGAGGAGGAGGAGGAGGAGGAGGAGGAGAAGGAGGAGGAGGAGCGAGAGGGCGAGAGGGCGAGGGGAACGGGATGGGGAAAGTGAGGAAGAGGAGAGAGAGGGCGAGAGAAGGCTTAGTAAGGGAGAGGCAAGGCCAGTGGAGAGCAAGTAGCCCCTGGTTCGTTCTCTGGTGGAAGGGCTAGTTCCCCAGGAGAGGTTTGCCAGATATTTCAAACCTTCTCGAGGGCTCGCCTTGGGGCTTTTAGCCCCTTGAGGGCCCTCAAAATGCCACCGAGGGCTTCCGAGGATTCCCAACTGGGTCCTGTGGATTCCGGATGGGATCCTGGGGATTCTCGAGATGGCACCCTGAAGGAATCGGGAAGAATCCTGAAGACCCCCGACGGGATCTTGAGATGTTCTCCGGGAATCCCAAATGAGTCCTGAGGGTTCCAAAGGGAACCCGTGGGATTCCTGAAACAAACACGGATAATTGCTGATTATTCAGGGGTTCTTGGCGGATCTTCGGTTGAGTGTTTAAGGCGTGTGGTCCTTACATGCTCTCATTGTTTGTTGTTTCTCCCTTGCTCTCTCTCTCTCTCTCTTCGTCCATCCTTTCGCACTGCACCTCCAGCTCCATGCAAACCATCCAGGATGTCATCCTGGGTTGTTATTTACCGTATTTGACGCCGTCTCCTTCGCAGCCACGTTGGCCGAAGTTTTCTCGGACCTTCTTGCGGGCCTGTTTGACCCTCGGGGCCCTCGCCTCCCACGCGGACAGCATGGGGCCCCCGCGAGCCCAGCTTCGCGGGGGTAACTGAAGTACGAGCTTGCACGGCAAAATAGAGTGCGGGTAATGGTAATCAGTTGGAGTCGTGACGCATTGTAATGTCCACATGTGGTTCTGACATAATGGCGGGTAAGTGCGAGGGCAGTTGAAGTACTTCCTGCGTGTCCGCTCGATGTGCAATCACGATGCCAGGGAAACATTGCAGACATGACCACGCAGCATGTGACACATAATGTAAATATCACATCCGACGCTACTTCAGCAGATGAAAAGCCTACACGCGGCAAACATAATACAGACTGACTCCGCACTTGCGGCATCTCTATGCGATAGCGAACTCTTCGGTCTGTCTCGGTGAAGAAGCGTTCGCAGATCTGTTTCTGCAGGGGCTGGTTTCACGAAAACACGTTTGCAAACGTGCAAGTGATCCTATGAACGTTCGTTGGCCGCGGAAGCCAACCCTTCACACGCTGTCCAGCTTCCATCGGGGAGCCACCCCGTGAACAAAGGATCCAACCTTTCCACTGGGAGCGAACATGTCGCCGAGCCAGGGGGAGGGGGGAAGAAGGAGCAGAGGCAGGAGAGGGATGATGGGGGAGAAGGGGAGGAGGATGACCAGGATGAGGGCGAGGGTTAATCCAAAGTGCACCAACGATGCTGCCGTACGCCTGCCCGTCCCAAAGCCCCTGCAATAACTCCTCTTCATTGTGGGAAGTGCCGATTTGAAAGACGGGCTCCCGACGACCATGCAATTCAGGCGGCAGGCCCGTTGTGAACAGCAGCTGGCATCCATGCGCCAAGGTACAATTATGGTGACGAGGCAGGATGAAAGAGTCCAAAGCAGCAGTATCCTGCGAGAGACCCGCTTTGAAGCAGAGTCGCCCTGAATCCGCCAAATGTTCCTATGTAAAACTTTTAGGCGCAAAAGCAGCAGAATTCCTAATCGAGAGCCGCGACTTGACAAGGACCTGCCCTTACTCCTTGTATCTGGTGCGCAGTTGCCGTCTTCTTATCGTAATGGTGAAGGGATTATCGAGCGAATTTTCATGGTTGAAAAGCAGGCCACCCCAATCCGTGCATCTTCATGCGTGAAAAGCAGGCCACCCCACTCCGTGTACCGAACGGAACGCTTGACACGAATGCGCGCGACGCGAAGGCGAGAGCCATAGTTTAAGAACGACTCCCCCTCCATCCGTTTAATTGCTGGGAGCTTCGGAAGAGCGTCTTCTGGGTGGTCGGCCCGGATATCACGAGGGGGGTTTCGAACCTGCCCCCCCCAGCGCAGGCAAAGCACTTCGACCACGACGATGAGGACGACGACGAGAACGACGACGATGACGTCGACGAGGACCACGACGACGACATGGCCAGCTCGTCCGCCTCGGCGCCCAGGAATGACGACGACAACAACGAAGACTACGACGACGTTGACGATCTGACGACGACAGCGTGTCTCCCCCGCCCGCCTGACCGACTCGCCCACGACGACGTGACCCGCCCGCCCGCCCGACTGATCCACTCGCCGACGACGACGACAGCGAGTACGACGACGGCGAGGGCCACGACGACCACGACGACGACGACGACTTGTCCCGCCCGCCCTCCCCGGCGCCAGCAAACGACGACGACGAAAGCGACGACGACGACGACGACGACAACGTGTCCAGCACGCCAGCGCGACCCGCCCGCAACGGCGACACCGTGTCCCGCTCGACCGACTGACCAACTCGCCGACGACGACAACGACGACGACGACGAGGACGACGATGACGACAGCGGTGACGACGACAACGACGACGGCGAGGGCTTCGGCGTTTGCGACAGCGACGGCGAACGACTACGATTCTGACCGCGACTGCAAGCCTTTAAGCATAGATGCTCACGGTGCTAAGGCGAGAGTCACCTTTTGAAAACGAGCCCCCGTCCACCTGTGTAAATGTCGGAAGCTCTTAAGACGAGTGTGCGTGGCGTTGAGACCAGAGCCGCATTGTTAAAACAACCCCTACATGCGTGTACGGAACTGCTTGCAGCTTTCAAGGTGGATGCGTGCGGCGCTAAGGCGAACGCCAGGCATAAACAAAAGCCCCCCTCTATCCATGTAACTGTTCGGATGCTTTAACTGCGCGGCCATAAACGAGGGTGACGTCTCAGGCGAAGCGCCCAGTCTGCCCTACCGACGCGCCTGGTGGCCAGACGACGAGGAGTTATCTAAAAGGAAACGGGACGGAGAAAGAAGGGCGGTGGGGCAGGGTGAAGGAGATGCCAGAGGGGGAGGGAGGGAGGAGGAGGAGGAGAAGGAGAACAGGAGAAGCGGAGGAGGGAAATGGGGAGAAGGGGAAGAATGACGATAGTGATGACGATGACGATGACGACGATGATGCTGATGCTGATGACGATGACGATGACGATGACGATGACGATGATGATGATGATGATGATGAAGATGATGATGGTGATGATGATGATGATGATGATGATGATGATGATGATGATGATGATGATGAAGGAGGAAAGGGAGGTGGAGACTACGAGGAGAGTTGTGGCAGGCTCCCCCCTCCAGTCCCCAATCTCCCACCTCCTCCTCCACATCCCTCCTCCTCCTACCCTATCCCGTATACCTCCTCCCCGCGCGCACGCGCGCTGGAGCGCGTGCGCGAATGATCGGGAGAAGGGGGAGGAGGACGGGGTCAGGGGCAAATGAAGGAGGGGATAGGCCCAGGGCGTCGACTCCCGATCGCACATTGATCGCCGATAGGGGCCCGATAGTCCAGCCAGTCCATGCATGTGCGGTTTCGCCCTCGGGGGCCTATCGCCGATCCATCGGCGATGTGTCGCCGATTCCAAGTTTGTGTCTCCTTCCTTGAATCGGTTCTCACCTATCGTTCCACCTCACAGGGAGAAGGGCCCACACCTTGTTCGTCACGGCAGAATCGACCTGGCGTGCTTTTCTAAAATAGGGCCTGCTTCTAGGCCGGAGGCAATCAGGGAACCTCTGGCGGCGAAGAGACGTTCCCAGGCATTGTGGGGATTGGGTCGGGAGCTCCAGGAGAGTTCACACGACATCAAGAAATCGTGGCGCCAGATGTGAGGAGGAGGGAAAAGGGGGAGGTGGACAAGGAGGGGAGGAGGATTGGAGGAGGAGGAGGAGGAGGAGAAGAAGGAGGAGGAGGAGGCGGCGAAAGAGGATGGGCGGCACCCGCAGCATGATAATCGGATTGAGTTCGGCACGACGCCAAGTAAGTAAATGTGTATTACGTTCGGAGGTGTTGCTGTCTTTCTCTGTTTCTGCCCTTCTCTCGATGCATGTACCTATGTGTGTACATCTATGTGTATATACTTGTATATGGATTCAAAGCTCTTCTGGTGAGAGGAACCGAGGGGAGCGCTATGCCACGGCAACTTAGCGGCAAGCCGAAGGCATGGGCAGAGTTGCCCAAAACAATGATAGAACCCAGCTGAGCGCTAGCGAAAGACAAGCTCGGAACCAGCGGATAGTGAATGAATGTCAAGCCAAAGGGGCACCATGTGGCATTGGCATGCAGACCAAAGACAGATACTGTGCCAGCGAGCAGCCAGCTCCACGACAATTCACGTCGCAGCATCCAGCTGACCAGAAACAGTCTGTGCGCAAGGCATAGACGTGCAAAATGAAAGCTGCGCCTCTAAGCTGCATGCCATGTCAAGTTAGCAATCTAGACGTAGGCTAGATGCAGGCCAACACGAAGCGGCTGCGAGCCAAAGCCAGGCCAAAACAAAAGCTAGGTAAATGCGATTTGGTGGAAAGTCACGGGCGAACCAACACGGTGCAGTTGCAAGCTGAGAGACGATCTAGAGGCAGGCGACACGCACTCGAAACAGAGACCCAGACACAAGCCGTGGGGCTCAGGGAACAGACCGTGGGAGACGACTGCCACTGGCCTTCGGGCCCTAGCAGCTTAGGACCCAGCCCGGTTGGCCAATTCTGGCTCCGGGACGCGCACACAAAAAGCATGACCGGATAGAGCACGACGTTCTGAATGATGACTTGGCGAGCGGGAGGGTGAGAGAGGGAGAGGGATTGACACGTCCAACACCCGTGGCCCACACGGCACTGTTTATGAGTTCACTTGGCCCCGACCGTGGCTGCGAGCGCCGACTGGGCCACGACCGAATCTCGTGAGCCAGGAGCCACAGCGATGACGGCGCTGCAGAGAACAGCCAATTTGGCTCGATCCATTTTGCTCGATCCATCCATCGATCCATTTTGGCTCGCAGTCCATCCATCGATCCATCGATCCATCAATCGATCCATCCATACCACCACCATCCATCGATCCACCCATCCATCCATCGATCCACCATTGGTCGATCCATCCATCGATCCATCCATCGATCCTCCCGCAGTTAGACGATTTGGCTCGATCCACTTTGGCTCGCGCGGGCCCGACCTGCCCCTCGACCTGCCGCAGGCAGCGGCGATGACGCTTCAGGCATCGCAGACCCGCTCCGAGAGAGCGGCCCACGGCAACGATTGGGTCAGGGAGCTGATGATCGAGGCGCGGCAGCAGCGCACGCCGCCAGCCCGCGGGGCAGCCCCGACCCTGCTGGCGCCAGAGCCCACTTGGGACCGGCAGCGTACACTCAAGCGCTCTTCGCCAGTGAAGGTCGGAGGCGTCCAAGAGGGGGGTGAGGATTTGGGGCAGGAGCATGACCCTGAAACTGCGTTCGCACTCGCTACCGCGCACAGTGTGGTTGTCATTCTTGGCGTGGAGATCACGCCAAGGGCCGTGGGATCTCCCAGATTCCGTGGCCCCCTCCTCTTCTTCCAGCGGGGTCCCTGGCCCCCTTCGTCCGCGCACGTGCCCCTGGCCATGATGCGCTATTACGCCTCTCTTTCTGGGCACTCCCTCCTTCCCAGACATCCGATGTCTTGAGTCTCTCGATACGGGGTCCCCAGAGGTCTGGGCCCTTTCCCGAGGGCCGGCTCTTCATCCTGAGTAGTTGTTTGACGGTCCTGGGGCCCGGCGAGGGCCCTCAGATGTCGAAAATGGCAACAACTCATTTACGCTTCGCGTATTCCCACCAGCCCATCCAAAAGCAGACACCAGGCGAGTTGCCCTGATCAAGGATGTGTAGCGTCATGTTTGAGTGGTTGCCTGTCGTTGCCTGCGGTGGCCGTGTGACGTCGTGCGTGCCCGGGGCCGCCTTGGTAGAGTGGTTGCCTGTCTTTGCTCGCCGTGCGTACGTTGTTTTGGGCGCGCAAATGCCGACGACGCGCTCGCTTGTCATCTAGTAAGCAGGGAGCGACGACAGGCAATCACTCGACCAAGGCAGCCGCGGGAGGCGCGGGACGACGACGGCGACGACGACCACCACCATGACGACGACGACGGCGACGACGACGACGACGACGACAGGAGTCAACATCAAGACCTTTGGGGCCATCTTGAAGGCCATCGATTCAAAGAGGGAGGTCGCCGATTTCGCCCCCCCCCCCCCCCCCCGTCGGGGACCGAACCATCGCTTTTGGTGGCCCTCCTGGGCGGCTTTGGGGTCTTGGGCGTTCATGAGGCCGTTTTGCGTTCCCTCCTATCCTGGGCCCCTCTTGGGGCCATCATGGACCATTTTGGAGCCATCTTGAGGCTTGTCTCTTGAGCGATCTTGGAGGCCCTTTCGGGCTCTTGGAGACACCTGGGGCCAAAAAGGACCCTCTGACACCTCGCGGGGCCCCCGTCTCCGAAGGGGGAGAAGGGGGGTAGCATAACGAGCTCGTCAGACAATTCACGCCCAGAGGACCGGTGGGATTTCGGCATCGCGTTTCTCGAGACATAGGAGGTCTGGGCTCGGCGCACCCGAGAAGGCACCAGCGACTGTGCAGCGGGCCCCAGAGGAGGTCGCCCCAGCGTCGCCTGCGCCGGCCCCGCTGCCGACAGAGGCCGCCGGGGCGACCGCCGCGCTCGCCAGCCAGGATGAGCCGCAGGCCCCCGAGCCGCCCGCCGCCGCCCCAGCGCCGCCGCGCGCCGCCGATGATGCGCCGCAGCCTGCCGGCTCGCGGCTCGGCGGCTCGGCGAAGGCGCCGCCCCGCGACGAGCTCGCGCGGCGGGGCGCGGGCGCGGCGGGGCGCCGCTCGAGGCCGGGCGCCGCGATTGCGCGGGACGCGGGCGCGGCAGCTGCACGCGAAGAGGCCGGGGCAGAGGCCCGCCGTGAGGGTGCCGCCGCCGCGCAGCCGCCCGAGGCAGGGCCGCCGCAGGGCGCCGAGGCCGAGGCCGAGCGCCGGGCCGCCAGCCTCGCCTGGGGCGGGCAGGCGCCCGCGGGCCTCCTCGCCCGCGGGCTGCGCGCCGAGGCCCCCCTGGCAGGCGGCGCGGTCGCCGCGCCGCCGCGGGCCGCGGTGCGAGGGGGCCAGGGCGCCCTCTCGGCGAGGAAGGCGGGGCTCGAGGACGAAGCGAAGGAGAAGGCAGTCCGAGAGGGCCAGGGCTCTCACCCCGAGCGGGAAGTGGAGCTCGAGGACGAGGCGAAGGGGAAGGTGGTGAGAGAGGGCCAGGGCGCCCTCCCGGAGCAGAAGGCGGAGCTCGAGGACGAGGCGAAGGGCAAGGTGGCCGAAAGACAAGAGAAACTGGTACAACTTTAAACGGAGAAGGTTAAAGGCGAGGTATAAATCGAGCATGTACCGCTGCCGTGCCTGGCTCAAACCGGGCCCGGCATGATATGTGACTGTGCCTCACCGAGGCGCACTACTTGCATCTGAGATCGGAAAACATCCTTTCCATTGACGATGCCCATCTTACTCTTTACTCCAGATCCCATGCTTCGTCTCGCTCTCTTGCTCATGCGATATGAGCCAAAGCCTGGGATATGGGAGCGCCTAAGGCGGACTACATACCTAAGCTTACCAGCCTGTTTTCGACTTGGTAGCGGAGCTGGCTACACTCTCGTGTGGCTGGCTCTCGCTCTGATTCCTGTAATCCACGGCACAACTTGGTGGACTACTACTACGGTGGAATACCATGTTGCGCCGGCTCTGCGAGGAGCGGAGCCAGTCCGCGATCGAGCTAGCGGGGCAACCCGCGAACTCGAGACGCTCTCTCCGACTTCACTGCGCTACTTCACTCCCGACTTCCACCAGATGCCAACCGGCAACTCGACCGAGAACGTGGTCACCCTGCGGCGCTACCCGCAGCGGGGCCACCTGCATCCCGTGCCAGTCAGGCGCCTCACGGCTAATACGCCAGAGCCTGACAAACCACAGCCTAAACCAATCACCGAAGCCGAAATGCACATGCGTTGGGTCAAGATAGCTATATTCGGCATTCTGTGGATAATAATGGGATGTGCTGTGGGATACATGCGGCAGGGGATGGACGACACGCGTACTACTGGCCCTTCATGGGACCCTGCCGGTACTACGCCTTTTCGCGAATACGCTCGCGAAGTACATGCATGGTTAAACGTAACGAGTGGCAATATGACACCACCACAACAAGCTGCAGCACTACAACGAGGCCTTCAAGGTCTGGCTCGTCGTATCGCCATGCAGGTCCCCTCCCAGATCATCAATTATGGTGTAACTGTCAATGGACAGCCAACGGATGCAGTAACCTACATACTGTACTTACTGAGCACCAAATTTGAAAATCTGGAAGATGAGCGCCAGCTCAACTCTGGCACTGCCCTTATCGACTTCCGCGTCGAAAGGGGCGAGCGAATCGACTCAGTATTAGCTCGATTCGAGATGGCCCGTGACGAGGCTAACTCTGTTGGCTTTGTCATCCCCAACTTTCAGATCCTAACGCTGATTCTTTTCAGAGCGTTAGGCGTTGGCGCGTCACGAGCCCAACACCTGCTCGAGCCCTTCAATCATCAGATGCCCCGAACACAAGCAGACTATGACAGGCTGTTGACCAGGATGAGGAACTACGGACATGTTGCCGAGCGCTCTCCTGGTAACATAGCGGGTATCTTCACAGGGCACCACTCACATGCAGGTGTTTACGCCACGACTGCGGGGTCACCCGCTGGTCCTGGCGAGCCAAATCCCTGGGCTGACCCAGCCGATATGCCCAACGAGGCCACTGCCCTTCTAGGGCAGACCGGCCAGGCATCGGCAGAGGCAGCTGAGGCAAACGCCTGGTCGAACTACTCGCCAGGCGCCGCCTACACTGCAAGCCCGCCCTCGGGCACAACCCTCTGGGGCCAAGCGGAGTCATCCGCTCAATGGTCTCAGCCACCCTCACCGTTTGAATCTGGCACTGACACAGATACCTCATCTGACGATGAGCACAATGGAATAGTCTCTGCTGGTAATGACTATCCAGCGGATGACACTCACCTTTCTGAACAGCAAAGGGCGGAAGCCGCCTTTATGGCTTATCGCAAATCAAAACGCCGTTGGAGGCGCTTTATGAAGAAACCAGTCAGAAAGGTGAGACGTGCAGTACGCCGACATTTCAAACAATTTGGAAAGGGTCGTGGTAAAGGGGGTCGCAGACGCCGTATGCATGGTAGGGGTATTACTGCTTTCCTCACGTCCTTAACTGATATGGCTTTTGAAGAAGTTCTTATCGGAGGCAAAGGTCGGGGTCACAGGCGGACCTCCGGTAAGGGAAAGGGGCGGAGGGGCAACCCTAGGGACGCTTCTGGTAATACTATGAAGTGTCATACATGCGGTAGCACAGAGCATTTGCGCGATCAATGCCCGAAGGGGAAAGGAAAGGGATCCGTACACTTGGCTCAAAATTCTTTTATGGATGACATAGATTACATTGACTACGAGTTTTACGTCAATCCAGAAGCGGCTCCCGCTGCGGGCTCCTCCACGTATTACGTGATGGCCCGCTATGCTGAAGCAACCGTGGCCCTGGAAGACTACGCAGTGACCCTCTTCGACGAGTTCCACGGCTGGGACGAGGTCGATGAGATTGCGTACAATGCTTGGTTCGGTCTTCCAGCGGGGCCACCCGCCGGTGACGAGGTCTCCGAAGCCGAGACTGTCCCGGCAACAGAGGAAGAACTCACCGCCGCGCTGGCCCCACAAGTGATTGGCATGCCGTTGCTGCCAAATCCGTCGTGGGCTGGCTCGGAGATGGGAGACGCCGATGACGAAATGCGGGGCCATCCCGCGTATTCCGACTCCGAAGAATCCGAAGAAGATTATAACGACATGCTCCAAGAGCAGGTTTCAGAAGCAATCCGACTCTTGAGTGCGCCAGCACAGCAGCAGATGACGATGAACGAACTGCTGTCGCACCCAGGAGTTGCCCGTCTACGTCCATACTTGGATTCGAACATGTCAGCATCTCAGATGCTTACAGCACTCCAAGCTCTAGCGGGGTCACCCGCCGAAGAGATGCTAGACACAACAGCGGGGCCACCCGCTTGGTCTATGGATGTATTCATGCAAGGTTGCGATCAAATGAACATTAACGACCTCTCGATGGAGCAGTTAAATGACATCGGATACTTCAGAAGCCCGTATCAAAACGTGTTCATGGTCCAGGACAGCTCAGAGGACTCGGAGGACATGCGGTACGCCAAGAGGGACAGGCGACCGTCGCCTCCCCGAGACTCAGAGCATGACGATCAAAGGCCAGTGACACGTGGTAGTGCGTCAGCGGGGCCAGCCCGCGGAAGGAGCCGCTCAGCTCCTAGACGCCCTACGCATGATGAATCGGGCTATCCATACAGCACTGAGCACTCCGTTGGAGTATCTGCTCAGCAGGTGCCGGATTGGTACATCAGATGGTACCCCGGCTACTCTATGGATACTCTTCGGCACTGGTATTCTAAGGAATACTGTACCAAAAGGGACGAGACTGGCGCGATAATCCGTACCAAGGGCGGCAAGACCAAGACGCCAGAGGCCTGGGACAAAAGGGCGAAGAAGCAGGAGATCATCACTGACCGCAAAACGTACAGAAAGCAAGTATGTCAGTGTGAGCCCTTTAAAGGCCACATGCGCAGGTGTCCGATGGACCGCCCCTCCAGGAGCCCTCACCATGGAGAGACCCCGTGGAATTGGTCTCATGGAGACGACGCGGGTAACGTCCATGATCCGAACAAAGAGGTTCCTGGAGGAGGAAAGCGTATCACAGAGGCCGATCGCGTCCCTATGACCGAAGAGGTGGCCAACACCGTCAAGGAAAATTGGGCAAAGCTTCCCAATGACCACCGCCTCAAGGAATGGAACCGCCGATTCCATAAGGAAGCGGGGTCACCCGCAGAATCCAGTAAGGAAGCGGGGTCACCCGCAGAATCCAGTAAGGAAGCGGGGTCACCCGCAGAATCCAGCAAGGAAGCGGGGTCACCCGCAGAAGCAGCACCAGCCGCTGGATCTGCGGACGAGTGGATAGACGTTGTCTCTGCTGCCGGGTCCGCCGCCGGCACTGACCGCACCGAGCTAAATGAAGAGTGGGCGGCGGAAGACGGCTCAGAGAATCCATTCCCTGACGGAAGCGCCTGCTGGTACTACAGTTCTTCGGCGCAGAAGTGGTTTTGCACGAGGGTAATCTACCGCCATGAGAATGGCAAGTACAAGCTGGCCATAAAAGGTACTGCCGACATCGACCAGATGAGGCAGGTCATCCATGGTCATGGCCAGCCAGAAGGCCCTCCTAGAGACCCTCCTGGTCCACAACCGGGCAGGGGCAGCAGACCACCTCCAAGACCTGAAGCCGACTCCTCGTCTTCACCGACTCCGGCAAAAAGGCACCCGTCCAAGAGCCCCGAAGGCACACAGGGGCGGGCGAAGGCCAGAGGGATCGCCAAGACGGACGACCCTGAGCCGGTGAATCCTCCCGGTCTGTCCGTGACGGAGAGGAGGAAGGCTTTTGCTGGACCATCGACCCCGATGCCGCCGGCGACCCAAGGCGATGTCAAGGACGAAGCTCGCGACAAGCCTAAGGCAGCGTTCCGAGGTGACTGGACTCCAACACTGCATCAGCCACGCCTTGCACCACGACCAGGTTCGGCACGAATGAAAGCGCAGCCGAAGCCCGAAGCTGGGATGAGGTCGGTGCGGGCAGAAGCGGCCGCCAAGGCTAAGGAGGACAAGGGCTCTGCGGGGCCACCCGCTAAAGCGGCGCCAGCCGTAACAGCGGGGACACCCGCAGAAGGCACTCTCTCCAGAGAAGAACGCTTCAGAGTCCTCAAAGAGTTTGGCGACCAACAGAAACTGACTGATGATGCAGCTGCTGACAAAGGTCGCCAGAACCCTGGCGCGGAGTCATCTGCAGGAGCTGCCTCGTCAGCCGCAGGTTCTGCAGGGCCACCCGTTAAAGCGGCGCCAGCTGCATTAGCGGGGTCACCCGCCAAAGCGCCGCCGGCTGCACTAGCGGGGTCACCCGCAAGCTGGCAGCCAATAATGTCTGTTCTGAGGGTCATTCCTTTGGAATGCAAGTTGTATTGGCAAGGCATTGTAGACAAAGGCCCGAGGCAGCCCATCAACCCACGAGTCACTCCAGACGACACGGACCGATATGAAGTCATTAATTGTCCGGTTCGTCGTAATTTCAAGTGCCACAACGACTGGGAGCGCGAACAGCAGAAAGTGGGAAACATGCTGCGAGACAGGCCGCCACTACGCGCTGCGCAGCATAAAGAAGCACTCCTGAAGGTCATGACACAGAACGGCATGGATCCAACCTTGCCGAGTAAAGAGCAGATGACCAAGGTGTCGATGTGTCTTTCAACGGCTCTACGCCACAGTCCATATTACAAGGACAAACATAATCGATACTTCGAAAAAAGTCAGCACTTTTGATCCATACGACGGCTGGGTTGTCGTTGATGATCTGCTGACAAACTGGACTGAAAATGATCAGTATAAGCACTATCGTGAAATGCACGAGGTGCTGATCAAAGGCAGGCCCCACACGTCATTCGTGTATTGGGTGCTGCTAAACTGCTGTGAGATGGTTGACCATCACGGCATGCAGAAGGGCAGGCTCCAGATGAAGTGCGTTAATGACAGTATGCTGCTGCCTCCCAGGTTTCGACCAACGGCACGCAGGCCACAGTACTTCATCAGAGCCACGAACGGCCACAGCAGTCCAGGCATCCACTGTCCCGAGTCGCTGTACAAGCCGATCACAACATGGATGAAAGAACCAGACGACCCAGTATATTTCATCCACGGGACGCAGTGGGAGTATGTCAAGGACATCCTTGCTAATGGCCTGTCATGCCTCGCACAGGACAACCCGAAGAGGAAGGGGGGGCGCCAATTTGTGCATGGCTGCCCCTACCTCCCGGGCGACCCGAGGATTCAATCGGGCATCCGTCCTGACTCGGAGGTGCTCATATTCTGCAGCATCAACAAGATGCTGTCCAGTGGCTTCTCTCTATGGAGATCAGCAAATGACATAGTCATGACACGGGGCCACGATGGACGTATACCGCCCGATCATATTCTCCAGATAGTGAGCATTGCGAAGTATCGGGTCGGCGAAGCCTGGACCAATCCGCTGTTTTATGACAAGACGCGGAGGCGGGGCCAACCCGCGGACAGGATTCGCACTGATGACTACCTGCCACTTAAAATGTGTGACAGAACTGTGGCGGTAATGGAAGATCATGCCATGTACCTCAAGGGCTGGGCTAAGACGGACGGTCGCCCATTCAATTTGGTCATGACCGAGCAAGATGTTGCTCCACGACCGTACGACACACAGACAGTCCTCATGATGAATGCCCAGGAGGACGAGGTCATGCCTGAGGCGGGGCCACCCGCAGGAGCGGGGACACCCGCGGTAGGCACCTCGGACGGTTCATGGCAGCAAGTAGTCACACCGGTGGCGACGGTAGCATCTCCTTGGAGGCCGGACCAGCAGTCCTGGGTCCAAGCTCTCAACAGCCATTTGACATCAGCCGACGTTTCTGGACTGACCGATCAGCTATACCGTGCTGACCCGTGGGCGGTGCATGCAGGTATCCAAGATGCACAGCAGAGGAACCTGCGCCCTCCTGCGGGGCCACCAGGCGTCCTAGGACCACAACCACAACGCCCTCCACAGCAAGCTGGAGTTGCGAGGTTTGCTCCTATGGGCGGCTCAGATGGTGGCTCGCCGTTTCGGACTCCGCCGTCTGAAACGAGCGAGAACAGCCTGTGGCAACGACTCCAGGCGATTCGCGGAAATCCGGCGCTCGCAGCAGCACTCCAGGCGACCACTCCCTTTGGCACTCCGAGGGGTAGTGAAGGAGGAGTGGCTGCGGGGACACCCGCCGAGCGAACGCCTGCGGAGTCATCCGCACACGCGGGGCCACCCGCTGACGGACAGCAAGGCTCAGACTACGAACGTCGGGCAGCCAATTTGAGAGCACAGGCTACCTTCTTGCAGCAACAAGCTGATAGAGTGCCCAGCCTGTTGCGGAACCGCAACATAGATGTTACGAATCATGGCGACTTTCGGCCTCTCTGGAGCTGGACTTCTGATGACGCTCCAAATGCTGATCCCACGAATCCATATCGACAGGTGTTTATTCCAGGAATAGCATCACACCCAATATATGGATGGGATAATCATGGACCAGCAGAGGCACAGGCCATGGATGCGCCGATGTACCCGGAGTACTACGCGCAGGTGAATAACACTCCTATGATTGCGGGGCCACCTGCGAACGAATACACTCGGAATCTGGCCAATGAGATGTTTCGTTTGCAGTATACACGAGCAGTCGATGCGCAG